ATATATATATATATATATATATTGTATTTGCTGACACTAATGACCTCTTATTCTTGGGCACTATTACTTCAGAAGCAATTTTAGTTTCCTATTCTCCTGTGAAAATGAATCTTATTCTAGTTAGCTGCCACCTGCTGGGGCATGAACAAATGTGTAATAATCCTTATAGCACAACATTTAAAAAGGCAATGCCTATACCTTTGGCTGGAAATATATATCCCAGAGTAACCTGAATTTCATAGGTGTTTCAAAGGTTCTTCCATGCTAGATCTACATTTAATTTTTTCACATGTATTTCTTATTAAGGATTCCAACTGACTTGTTACTAAAGTCAAATGTGACATTTGAGAGACCTCATCTTGTAGTAACACCTAACTTATTCTTTCATGCAAGTGGCCTGCTGTATTGCAGCTTAGCTAAAATAAACAGCCTGCTCATCCATGGGATTAAAGAGGCCAGAGAATAAAGTCAAGGCTGAGATCAGTCAAAACCACACTGTTGCATACTTGTAATTCACTCTTCCTAACTAAGGATGCTATGCTAGCCCTTGTGATTCTGAATACATTATCAGCTCTTCTGATAACATTCTACTGCATTGATGATTAATGACATTTAGAATTTTAATTAATTTTAGATACTTAAAATGAATGTGTCTTAATTAAGAAATTAAAGTGGAATAGATTTATGTATCCTGGAACCTTTTTTTTTTTTTAAATCAGCTTTGCAATCTTCAGAGGGTTTAAATAACAGAAACAAAACAGGTAATGACTTGTAGGCGTCACTCATTCTCTATCACCTTCCTTCTGTGCTTTTTTGTTTGTTTAGCATATAAGTTACCAAGACCACTGGCAGGAAGTTGATAACCTGCCTTGGTTGTTCTAGAAATGCATTCTACAAAAAGTTACAAACTAATGAACTAGGAAAAGTGGAGATTGAAATACAATTGTCTATTTTCTAGCAATTCAACTACAGACTAAGATTCAAATGAATCAATCATCTGTGAAATGAAAATAATTATTAATCCATAAGAATTTCTGATGACAGAATAGAGTATGAAGAGGAAGAACTGATAAAAAACAATAATCTGTGAGTTAGGGAAAGGATGTAGTAAGTTAGATACATATTCTCTGTTCCCTAAATTGGAAATTATTATCTAAGAAGCCTCAAACCAGTCCTGTTGCTCAGTTTACACACACATACACACACAGCCCTATCGCCTCAAAGGTAAGATATTCGGGGATGCGGTTTGTTAACAAAGTTCTTCAGGCTGATGATCCACCTCAGTGACACTACCCACTCCTTACCCTAATGGGACGCCCCTCGTAGTTTGTTTGTGGTGGTTGTTTTCCAGAAGCTCTGAATACTGGCGTCAGTTAAAATAACGTCTCTACTTCCTCAGCTCAGAACTAGGGAGCAGGGTTAATGGAAGGATACACGGACGGAACGAGAGATGGAGAGTCGTCAGACCCGCAGGCAGCTACACAGCTTCTTGCCATCTGTCTCACTCTCTTCGCCTGGCGCGAGTCCCCGTAGCCGAGGCCACTTCCTGACACATCAACTTATTACGTTATTTATGTGAAGAATGTGAGCGCCTGCAGCCAAAAGAGCCACTTGCATCCTTGACAGGAATTGGCTGAGGCGAGTGGGACGAAGCCGCTCATCGCGAATAGGTCCAGCAGGTGCCTCCAGAGCGCTGGACTCCTCCGTGGCGCTGCTGTTTGCCTTCTTCCATCTCTTCAAGCAGAAAAAAAAAAATGCTCCTCGCCCACCCACTGTCCCTCCCGTCCTCCAGGGAAAAAAACACCTCAGGAAGAAGCCCCAAGCGGAGCCCACCGCCAGGGAGTCCTTACCTTGAGCAGGGGTGAGGTGGGCGGGGAGGGGGGTGGGGTGGTCCTCCGGGAGGAGCTGCCGGAGGAGGAGGTCGGGCGGGAAGTCCCCAGCTCCTAGACCTAGCAACGCAGCCGCCGGCGCCGAGCACGAGTGACGGCGGTGGTGAAGACGGTGACCGTGGAGCCGCGGCAGCGGCGGCAGAGACAGACACGCCTCCTGGCGGGGGTTCCTCGCCTCTTGCTTTAAAGGCGCCGCGCTCCTTTCCCGTGGCGGGTGCTCGCTCCGGGCTCCCCTGGGCTACCTGGACGCAGCGCCAGCCCCAGTACTCCAAGAACTAGATGAACGGAATTCCGGGCTCTGCCAGACTTGGACTTTATGAACCCCCCGGTCAGGACTTCGCCCTCTCCCCGCCTCCTGGGTTAGGGAGACCGGGACAGAAATGCACAGTTGGATAGTGAGTAATGCAGAAAGCCTGAGGAATTTGCCTGGTCCTGAGTGGCGACAACACACTTAAGGAGCCCTAACACGTTTGGTTCTGGGTCGTAGCTTTTATAAGGTCTCCGAAACCATAGCAACGAAACTTCTCTGCCAGGGTATGGGGAGCAGCTGGTAGTCTCCAAAGTAGCCCTCTTACTTCAACTACTGCATTTCTCTTTGAGATTTGCGGGGGAAATCTTGATCTGCGCTCTCTCCCAGTCCCACTCCTGATGCACAAATACTCTCCTGTGTGCTTCTAGTGCTGGGATAGAAATCGAAATCAGAGTACCCAGCTCCTGCCTGTTACCGGGAACAAATACCAAGAAAAGGGTGTGTGTGGGGAGGTGGGGGATGTACCAGTATCTGGAGGTTGGCGGGCCATCTCTGTACTGTCTGGATCATAAATGCCAAATGTTCTATTGAGACACTCAAGGTCCCTGAACTCTCAACCCAACCAAGCACATTACCGGGGCGAGGGTGGTTTTAAAAAATAGTTGGATTTGAAACCTAGTAGGCGCTCAGCCTGAGGTCACAGACTCAAAGGTAAGGGAAAGGAGCCTGAGGAGCAGCCTGGATTTGGCGGACACATATCTGATTCTCCCGTGGACAATTTTAAAAGATCGGAGATGGATAGGGATGCCTGCGTCCCAGTCTTCCCGCAGACCTGCTCCCAAGCAGAAACCCGCGGTGGTGAGCACACCAGCCAACCCTGCTTCCCAGCAACATGCACACCCAGCTTGGTGAAAGCGATTAGCTTCTGCAAATAATCCCAGATTTCCGCTCCTCTGGGTCAGAAAAGTCAACATGTATTCAATACTGTTGCGACTTTATCCTCAGCCCTACAATATTAACTACAGCAGAGACTTAGCAGTTTCCCCCAGAGTAAATTGGCAAGCTGTGATTCCTTAGAAGGTCTAAGTGAGGCTGAGAGGGAACAGGCCTGGCACGCTGTGCCCAGGAGACAATTTTCAAACCGACTGTACAAGGAAGGAACCAGGTGGGATTCCTAGACTCTGTGGAGTCCCCAAGCAGCCCTAATCCCTGGAGGCCTTCCATTCTCTAATTTGGAGGACCATGAAGTAGAGAGGCTCTGACTCCTGGGAACAGTTGTTTTGACTGGAAATGTGCATTTTTTCGTTTTGATGCTGCCTTTGAATGGTTAGCCCTCACAGAATTAAGCCCTCACCCCACCCTGGTGTATGGGTGCCACCCTTCACACACACTGGGGTTAACATCTGAAAGCCTAGCTCAGAAACACTCTGAAATTCAGTCCTACCAACATCACCAGTCTCTACCTTCAGGGTCATTACCCAGGGCTCTCCACCCCCACACTCCTCCTGTGCCTGCAGGAGTCCGGGAAACTCAGGGCTTAGGTTAAGGAGAGATGAGTTAGTGGCAATGGAGAGTCCGTTTGTCGTTTAAAGATGGGGGTGGGGGTGTCTGGGAGGCTCCCGTAATTAAGTCAACAGCAGCCTTGTTATATGGAGTAAATAAATAGTCAATGACTCCATTGTGCATCCTGGAGCGGGCAGCACAGACGCGTGACCGCCTCCAGGCGCCTGGGCTCCAGCTGCTGTGACCTGCAGCCTAATGGACCCTCGAAGCAGCGCGAGTTTGGGCCAGGCTGGTAAAAATTGCTCCATTCAGTCCCATTCCCTCACTGGAGTAATGAAGACAACTTGTCTACTAGCCAAAGACACTCTCCTTGTCATCATAACTACCCCCATCCCTTTCAGGGAGGGAGGAGCAAAATACCTGACAGCAGATTCCAGTGGAAATCCCTGATAAAGGTACCTAGCTCTGTTTTGTGGTGATTCTGACAGTATAGAACAAGAAGTGTGCATAATTTTAGCATAGGGTCTGGCATGCAGTATATGCTGAATAAAGAGTGGTGGGATTACTGGCATCAACCTTCCACCTTCTGCACTGTTGTGCCCAGGTCCACCTTGGATACATATATTCAGAGAGGAGCTTAGGGAACAACTTCCTTTTAGTGCTGCTTGTGCTCTTAGACTCTAGCTATGGATTTCTTTTCCAGAACAAACAGGACACAAGAAAACTATAGAAAAGGCTTAAGCAAGGGCCATAGGGGCAAGGGAAGAGAGTTGAGAAAAAAGTGAAACAAATCAAAATTATGCATGTTGTGAAATATTCATTTCCTCAAATAGCAAAATATTTAGATTCAAACAGAAAAGTAGACCAACAAAAGATACTTGATCATACATACTTAACCCTTCAAAAATTTTCGAGTGCTATAATGATATCTTTTTCATAATTTATTCCAGGATTTGTTAATTAAAGAATCAGAATCCAAGTCCTTTCTGAATCAGCCATGAAATATTTTCTTCTCTATTCTCAGTCATCCTAAAATAATCTACATTTGAGGAAGTTGGTAGTTCTCAGCCAGTCATGCAGAAATTACCTTCCAATCCTCCCAATTCTTATTTCTCAAAGTCCTCTTTATCATTTCTGGGATCCTAATTCCTGACCCCAACAGGGATATATCTGAGCTCCCCAAGCTCTCTGCTGGAGTTTGTTTGTTTGGCCTGGTTTGTTTGAATTGAATTTGAGGGTGTTATTTTGGATCATCTCATCCAAGGACTTCATTTTACAGGTGATAAAAACCAAAATAAGAAAAAAGGAGTGACATTTTTTTTCAAAGAATTAAAGAACTCAGATTGCCTTCTAGCTGTACAGAACAACATTAGGTTGTCTTCTCTCATTCCCTTGTAAAACTTAAACTCACATGAAGTTAGAAACTTCTCAGACCTTTCATCTGGAAAAAAAAAATCTACATGTGTGCACATGACCTTGAAATTTTGCATACAACAAATAATAGAAGATGCATAGATCTTCTGAAACCTATAGGCTGCTGAGGAGCTCTCAAACCCAGAATAAGAACCATAGTCCTACAACACCATTTTAGAGATGAGAAAATCTAGACCTAAAAAAACTAAGAGTCAAAGAGTGGCTTAAGAATCGCTCAAGGCACAGCAGCTCAGGAGGCTGAGGCAAGAGAATCATGAGTTTAAAGCCAGCCTCAGTGAAAGAGAAGTGCTAAGTAACTGAGTGAGAACTTGTCTCTAAATAAAATACAAAATAGGACTGGGGATGTGGCTCAGTGGTCAAATGTCCCTGAATCCAATCCTCTGTAACCCTCCTCTTCTTCCAGCCAAAATAAATAAATAAATAAATAATTGATGGCTCAAGGACTGCAGATCAGGTGTCTGATTCCCTGATTCCTACCTGTTTCCATTCCTTCAGATCTTTTTATAAGTAATTACATATAAATTACACTATTGTGTTAATAATACATAATGGCCTACTGGGGTTTTATTCTCAGAATAATTAATATCTGTTCCTGAAGGATGGCCTCTATTATTCATTTCTGAAGCCTTCTGACATATTTATTGAGTAGTGCTAAATGTCCTATTCTACTACTGGGATAGTAAAATGGCAGTGAACAAATTAAAACCCCTATCCTCACTGAGCCTTCAGTTAAGTGGCAGAAAGACTATTAACAAATACCCAAGTAAACATACATGATGTCAGATAGAAGAGAGGATTATGAAGAAAAATAAAGCAGAATAGCCATAATATAGCATGTGGGGAAGCTGAGGATGGGGAAGGTGTTATTTTATTGCCAGTAGTCTGGAAAGGTCTCAGGGAGTTGACATTTGAAGGAAATAAAGGAAAAGTGCATATATGTATTTGGAAAAAGAAGGTACCAAGTAGAAAAAAATAGCAAGTATAAAGGTCTTGAGGTTGAAACAAGTACAAAACCTCTAAAGAAGAGCAAAGAAGTCAATTTCCAGAGATGACAGTGGAAACTGGTAGAAAATCCAGTCAGAGAGGAGCAGAAAGTCGTGCCCTGGATAGTTTTGGATTTTCTCTGAAGACAACACAGAAGCCATGAAGGGATCTTAACCAGAGGAGCGATACAGTCTGACACATGTGAAGAGGCACTCCAGCTACTCTACTAAGATGGACTGGGCTTAACAAAAGGTACAGTGGAATCAAGGCCACTAGCTGGGAGCTACTGAAATAACCTAGATAAGGGCAGACTATAGATGGGACCAGGGTAGTGACTTGGAAATGATGAAAAGTGCTCAGATTCTAGATATATTTTTAAGTAAAACTGGATAATTTGATGATGAGTCAGAAGAAGAATGAGTCCCAAGTTTTTATTCTGACTAAGA